TAGATACATTAGGTTGGTCTATGCCATAAGGTGATCTTCCGGATTGGTGGTACCATCATAGGTACCTACCAATACATTTTTCACCTTGGTCGGCTGGGCAGCCTTAGTTATTTCCTTGGAAAACGCAGAGGGTTGTTCCCCCAGTCTTAGCAGTCGGAGCTATCAGTCCAAGGGTTGGACATTATATGCCACTTGCCCCCCAAAGAGGGTCGACTGCATTTAAGGTTGTCCATACGGTATGTATGGCTGTTGAGGCGTATACGGGGCCGCATGGAGCATCTGAGGACTAGCTTAGCGTGGGCGGACATGCCGCCTGTCTGGTTCTCTCGATTTGATTGCGAATACCTCATTGAGGTATTTTGAAAGCTGTCTTGCAAGTTCGACGTTGAGGCCGACTCTAACAGCTGCATGTTCTTCTTCTGCTAGATTAACATCCAGGCACTAGAATAAGTTTTCTTTGAACCATCCGGCTGTACATGCCGGATAGCCTTCCTCTTCCCTTGCTCAAGGGACCGGAGTTTAGCCAAATTTAACAAGGGCCTTTGTCCCTCCCTAGGTTTAGGGTAAGGAGTGGCCTCTCGGTCTTTGACCGGCTTATTCCTCCCAAAATGAGAGGGCTTCTTGGCTGACTGTTCCCTGGTGGAAACAGTCGTCCGTTTGTCAATCAGATCCTTAATATCCCCTTTGAAACTTGTCACGAGCTCGTTTCTGGTGATAGGGATGGAACCTTCGACCCCCTGAGTGTATCGACTTCATAGTCGTCATCTGTATCCTGGTCTGTATAGACCTGGACGTCGGCCATAGGCCATTTCTCATTAAGAGGCGGTACAGGTTCTTGTGGAGCCATCTTAGAAGTACTCTTCCCACAGACGGCACCAAATGTTTCGGGGTTTTTTAGATGTCCTGTGGGAGAGTTACAACACCAAGACTAGCCTCTGGACTCTTGTACTTGCAAAACAATGGAGGCTCCTTGGGGAGGGAGTTCCGCCTCCGACGATCAAGTTAGAACGTGTTTGGATGTAAAAAGAGCGGAAAGTAAAGGGGATCAGGCTCCTCTTAGGAGAGAAGTGATCATCCGGTTATCTAGGATAACCTCGAAATCCGAGCCTTAGCTCTCAAGTAGTGCAATTAAGCCTGGATTTAATGCTCAGAAATTAATGTACACATGTGTTTAATAATTTTTGAATGATGCTCCTTAAGGAAACATCTCCCTTTTATAAGGTCTTGAAATGCGTGCCCAACACTAGGTTTCAGAAACCTAAGACTGACTTGGCTTGCCTAGGTATTTGGGCCATATCAGGCCACTTTTCCAGTTGGCAATCTGTCTGCCACGTGTCATGGCCTGATTGGTCCACTTTGGACCTCTCACGAGGTGACACGTGGTTGACTCTGATTGGTCCACGTGGATGACACGTGGTTGGATTTCATTGGACCACGTGGCGGGGTTAAATTCCCTAATCATCAATATATAAAAAAATTTCAATAAAATAGAAACCCTAAATGCATAGATAATTAATAGAAAATCTAATATCATATCACTAATAAATAAAGCTAGATCTCGCAGCCAGCCCACGAGACTGCGACACTTGAAATTCCAAGGTTTGCCAAATGTCGCGCCATGTAAGCAACAAAAAGGTATTATTGTGACACATATGATGTTAAGTAAGCGAATTTTTGATAGATTTTCTAAGATAAAAATGTTATATAAGGTTTTATTATAAATATACTTCTAATATTTTTTAGTGTATAAATATACTTCTAATACATCATACATACAAAATTAATCATAACTTTAATAAATATTTTATAACTCGGTTCTATTTCTATCATAAAATTTGTTTTAAAAAGTTCTTTAAAATAAGATTCATTTATAGTATATTTAATTTATTTACAAAAATAATAGAGAATTAGTAAAAATAAAATAAAAGAGAATTAGTACAAATAAGTTTTAATCTATAAAAATAATTTTTAGTTTGGTAAAAATACTTTTAGTTCAGTAGAAATAATTGAGATTTGAGAATTTAACAATTGAGATTTGAGAATAATAGAGAATCGCTTATTCATTTCAAGTCAATAATAACATAAATTTTTATTTACAAACAAAACTACAAAAAGTAAAGTATTATATAAATAAGCGATGTGTGTTGTATATCTAAAAATCCTGCATTAACAAAAGAAATTATATGACCATATTTAACATTCAAGCCAAAAAGTTTATCCTAAATTTTTATCAACGGTCTGGGCATTGCGCGGACACAAAACTAGCATATAAATAAAGTAGGCATATTTTGGAAACATTCGGCGCGCCACATATTCAAGGGACTTATTTCAACCATTAAAAAAATTAAATATAGATAAAGTAGGCATTTTTCGAAAGCATTCGACGCGCCACATAATCAAGGGACTTATTTCAACCAATAAAAAAATTAGATTTGTATTTTATTTTTGAATTAAAAAATTCACTCGCCATCTAAGTAAAAGTGACGAATGAGATTTTAGAATTTTTCCACGTAGGTAAAAAACGACAAATAGTGATTTAAATTATTTTAAAAACTAAAAATTATCTTTTTTTTTTAAGAACTAAAGATTATCTTTAGATATTAAAATTTAAATTTTTTAAAAAACTAAAAATTTTACAAAATGATATTAAAAAAAAAAAAAACCCGTGCATCGCACGGGCTTATATTTTATTTTAAAATTAAAATATTAATTCGCCACCTAAGAAAAAGTAACAATTGAGATTTGAGAATTTAACCACGTAGGTAAAACAAAAATAACAAATAGTAATTTACAATTTATTAAAAAATTATCTTTTATATTAGGATTTAAATTATTTAAAAAAAACTAATTAAAAAATTAAAAAAATATCTTTTGATATTATTGATTTTATCTAAATATCCGGTAAATGAGATAATATTTTCATAATTTATTTCAATTTAATAAATTAAAGTTCTACATAAGTAACTAATGAATAAGGGTAAAAAAAAAATCAAATAATTTTAAATCTTAAGAAAAAAAAATTACCTTAATTTTATGTTAAAAAATTAGAATAGCAAAAACACAAAACAAAATTGTTAGACATTAAGAGATTACAAGAAATATACAAAATGAAATTAAAAAAAAAAAAACGTGCATCGCATAGGCTTAAATCTAGTGTTAATTATTCGAACAGTAAACGTCTTTTAATCTAACTATAACACTAAATATGAAGCAATGAATTATTTTTTTTCAATTTTAGCTGAAAATAATGCTACTTTGTATATGGAGTACTTCCTCCTTTTCTTACTTTTAAAAAAATAAAAAATAAATAATGCTCACTTAGTTGTTTATTATTTAATTTGCATTACTACTATATTTGATAACTTTATGTCACTTCACTCAAAATATTTTATCATTTCTATCTCTTTTATGGTCTTTAATTAAATAATAAAAAAAAGCTAATTCTCTCACATGCTATCTCTTTCATGCCTCCATTGTACAGTACAAAGTATAACAAATATTAAAGCAAATAAACTCTCCTAAAACATTGATAATCATCAAGTGATACAAATAAAAAAAAATGGATCGATGGAGTAGTTGGTAAGCCAAGTTAACATTTATACTAGAAAACAATTTATAATCACCGATCAAATTCAACATAACAAAGTATAACATTCATATTGAATAAAACAAAAATAATAAATGACTATAGGCATAATCTATATTATTAGATTTATTACTATTGTTTAGAAGTGGGTTTAATGAGAGGAGAGTAAACCCCAAAATACTCCCTACTCAGGTGCCTCATTAGCAGCCAGATGATATATCAATATAGAGGAGTATGTTTATTACGGAGTATTTATTACATAACATTTTTGGTAACATATCAATCCAACATGAGAGGAGTATGTTTACTAGTTATTACTATTGTTTAGAAAGTGGGTTTAATGAGAGGAGAGCAAACCCCGAAAAGCTCCCTTCTTAGAGGAGGAAGTATAAATGTAGGGTTGTGAGACAAAATAGAGATGTCTCACACATAAAATAATATACAAAATGTACCCAGAAGAGGGAGAAAGGAAGAAAAAGATAGAAAGAGTGAAAAAAGGGTGGGTGGGGCCCACCTTTTCTTCGGACATGGTTTCACATGCAAAAAAGATAAAAAAAAGAATTGGGACCACAACTATTGAGAATATATTTTGTACCACTGAGGATTTTTGTAAGTACCACTGAACTGTATTTTGTACCACTGAGAATGTATTTTGTACCAGTGAAGCTCTAATGGTATTATTTGACGGTCTAATGACATTTGAACTTTTTTTGTAATAACACTGAAATCATATCTTGTACCACTGATAATGTATTTTGTACCATTGAATCTATAATGGCGTAATTTAAATCTCGCATAAAATGACCAACCTGCCAATGCGAGACACTTCTAAATATCTCTCAACCCTCCGTTTAGAACACCTTCTTCTTAGAGTGCCTTAGAGTGCCACATCAGCAGCCAGATGATACCTCAACAATCAACATAGTTGAGTATATTTATCACAAAACACTTTTGGTAACATATCATCATCAATCAAGCATAAAAAAAAGGAAAATTATTTTCAATCAATACCAATCAAGCAACATGATATTTTCAGAAGAATTCTATGAGGGAGCCCTAATTAATCTCAGAGATAAACAATTTCAGTTTATCTCCTCTCACAACTTTATTACTTTTATCATTTAAAAAAATTAAAGAAAATAATTAGGTTGTGAGAGAAAATATATTCAGATTTATCTCAGAGAAAAACTTGAATTTTCCCGATTTCTATAGAGAAAAAGAAAATAAAAGAAACTTTAATATTGTTTCTTTTTCAAATTGATACGTCCGTATATTAACACGAGTATATTCTAATTTATAATATCAAATTAGGGTAAGAAAATGACTAATGCGATTCTCTTAGGATTAAATGTTTCAACAACAGTCAACTTTAATTTTTTTTTTAATCTATTGCATATTATCAATGATTTAATTACTGTGTTTGTTAAATAAAAAAAAAAAAAAAAAAAGAAGCTACCTACCAAAAACATAGATCTGTCCTCTTTCTCTCAGTTTCCATTGAAGCGCACTCAACCTTCTCCATTGAGGCGATTTCTATCCTCTATTGAAGCACCTTCAAAGGTAAGATGTTACTTTCTTCTTCTAATCATCCATTTTCATTTCCACAATCTAGGGTTTATCCTTAATTTTATTCTCAGTACACTCAATTAGGGTTCTCCTTAACTCGATTAGTGAACTATTGTTTATAGTTACTGAACTTGATTTTGTTGCTATAGAAGAAAATTACGAGCTTAATTTGTTGTTTGAATTGAATTTGGTGGATGCAACTATGTAATTGGGGCTTTTTTTCCCAAAATTTATGAGCCTAAAATTTGATAATTGAATCAAATTTGGTTGCTATTGTGTTTCAGAACCCTTTAAAGTTAAGATCTGGGTCCAGGGTGAGTGCCCCTTTTGCCCTTGCTCGGGACGTGCCTGATTTGTGGGTATGAATTTGATTGAATGTCGATGCAGTCCCCGGATCTTTGTTTGTGGCTACATTTTGCTGTTTAAGATGAGTGAGAGTGGTGTAGTACTCTAATGGTAGTCATATTTTTGACCTTGGGGTAATCTTGTTCATTATGGTTGTTAGAATACTGCTTGAGTTTGTGAATCATGTATCGTGCTTTTGAGTTATGCGCGGCCTTGCTTATGGATAGGTTGACATTGTCAGTTTCAACAACCAGCTTCAGAACAAAGAGCCTAATTTAGAGAACATTATAATAACATTATCAAGGAAGAGTGTACTTTTTCTTACATGATCCCCAAACCTGAAGCATTTTTAGTAGAGAGAGGAAAGGATATGGTTGTGGTATGTTTTGATTCTTCCGTAGGTGTTTTTTGAATTCAAATTAATTAGATGTGCTCTCATGAGACCTGGAAACTTTACGGAACTTGCCAAATTAGTTATTGTAATTAAATTCAAGTTTCCGTAAATTGTTTGAGCCTGATAATGTCAAATAGTTTTTGTACTCTTCTGTTGATAATTTATGTGAATGACTATTAGTTGACCAATTAAACTCTTCTTATGCAGTTTCTCCATAATATTTTGACTCTTTTGGAAGTGGTGTGCGTACCTTCTTGGTGATCAAAGAGATCAGCCTGATGGGTTCTCGGTTCCCATCCCATCAGCTCAGTAATGGGCTTTATGTGTCAGGACGCCCAGAACAACCTAAGGAAAGGCAACCTACCATGAGCTCAGTGGCCATGCCTTATACTGGAGGTGATATCAAAAAGTCGGGGGAACTTGGGAAGATGTTTGATATACATGGGGATGGGTCAAGGTCACGTAAATCTGGACCTATAAGCAATGCCCCTACTAGGACTGGATCATTTGGAGGAGCTGCATCTCACTCTGGCCCAATTGTACAGAATTCTGTGAACAGGGTTTCATCCTCTAATGTTGGAGGTTCTGGTTCAGCTTCCATGAAAAAATCCAATTCTGGCCCACTCAACAAACACGGTGAACCAGTTAAAAAGTCTTCTGGACCTCAAGCTGGTGGAGGTGTTTCTCGGCAAAATTCAGGCCCTCTTGCACCAATTCTTCCTGCCACAGGATTGATAACTTCTGGACCTATTTCATCTGGCCCCTTGAACTCATCTGGAGCTCCTCGAAAGGCATCTGGTCCTCTGGAGTCCACTAGTTCTATGAAACATCATGCTGCATCAATTGTACACAACCAGGCTGTGACAAAGCTCACTCAGGAGGATGAGTACTCATTCCATAAGAGCTTCCCGAAGCTAATTTTGTGGGCAATGGGTCTTTTGTTTGTGATGGGTTTTATTGCTGGTGGTTTTATTCTTGGAGCTGTGCACAATCCAATTCTTCTCATTGTCGTGGTGGTGCTTTTTAGTGCTGTTGCTACTGTCTTCACCTGGAACACTTTCTGGGGAAGGAGAGCTATCACAGGCTTTATTGCTCAATATCCAGATGCAGAGCTTCGAACAGCAAGAGATGGTCAATTTGTCAAAGTTTCTGGGGTATGTGAGATCTATCTGAATGCTACAAAAAACTTTTTATTATTTTATTTATTATTTTTGTGTGTTGTCGGCATTGGTACATGGAGATCTAAGTTTTTGGGAACCACAGTATTCTCTTTTGATTATCTTGAATGTAACTTAGGATGGGCATTAGAGTTATTTTGCTATACAAGAATGTATTCTTTAGCTCAAGGAATTCGTAGTATTGATATTTTATTGTTTTTGCTTTAATGAGTATGAAGAGATGGGGATTTTTACTACTTAGTGATTGGAAAATACTTAATTTGGTGGTTTTTGGTCAGAAGCTTCAATTCTTGAAAGATACATTTTTGCTAAGTACATTAGAGTGAAATGAAAGTTAGAGAATTTTGGTATAATTCTAAGTTATGCAGTTAGCAGTGTATTATCCTGGCTGAAAAGGGTGTACTATTGTAATATACAAAGTAGTATGACAGGTGGAGCCGTGGAAGAAATCATTGTTTTCTCTTTAGGAAATATTGGGGAAAACTTCTAACCTGAAGAAAAGAAGTGAACAATAGTGTAAACTGAAGAATAAAAAAGTGGGATGAGTGACTGATAAAGTACAAACTGTCAACCTACCTCAGTTATGATGTCTGCAGACTAATCAAAAGTCTTCGTAACAAGAGGTTTTCTTTTGTCTATGTGTACTATAGCTTCTGGATTTTGAGTTAACTTTGTTGCTGATTATGTTTGATTGCTTTTATCTATGCAATACAGGTTTTTCTTAGTATTTTAAACCTATCTAAACAGAATTATAAGAGTTTTTGAGCTCTTGCTGTTTTGTCTTTTGCTATTGATTCTGAAATTCTTGCTGTTTTGAGAAGTTCAATATCTCATGAAAAATGTATGCTGTTTTATGCTTCAGTTGGCATCATTTAAATTAGTTTTTCTAACTAAATTAATTATGCTAATGTGAAGGTGGTAACATGTGGAAATGTACCTCTTGAGTCATCTTTCCAAAAGGTTCCACGGTGTGTCTACACATCAACTAGCTTATTTGAGTATCGAGGTTGGGATTCAAAAGCTGCTAACCCCAGTCATCGGCGTTTTACGTGGGGCCTCAGATCGCTTGAGGTGATAACATCTTTCTTATATAACCTTTTAATTTATTGCCTTAGCTTCTTCACTGCTTTCCTTAGGTATTGAATTATCGATAAATCTTGCTATTGTGTGTATATGGAGAATTATACTTTTAACACCTTCCAGGATTGTGGGCTTCATGTGGCCTAGTAAGCCGCTGCATGATTTTTGATGGTTTGAGGATTGACAGTTTTTTTACGTGGTAACTATTGAACCCTTTTTTGCATGCTTTCATGGATCCCCTTGCGTCTATTATGTTGCTAAAGTACAAGCCATTTGCGTTTATTATTATTATTTTTTATTTTATATTAATCCTGGTATTGACTTGAATTTAACGATTGAAATAGTTGGTGTTACTTCATTGAACTAATGCTAATGTTGATTCCAGGGTTGCTGTAACTTGCTTGTTGGCATCACCGTCAATCCAGATTCTGATTGAGAGCATATTTAATAGTTTATGAATTGGGTTTGTAGTTCCATAGGAAGAAAGTTTACCAGGTTAACGGTTCCATAGTAAACTATGATACACTTAATTTGCACGCTACTTATATGGCAAGTTCAAATGAAAATTGAATGGGTTATAGTTCATAATAAGCAATTTGGTACTCCCTTTATCCCTATATTTTTTTTACTTGTCTCAAAAAAAAAAAAAAACCCTCCTTCCATTTCAAGTCTCAATTAAAAATTTCTCCTGCTTTCTCTCTCTCTCTCTCTCCTGTGTTTTTCATCTTTGTAAGGCCCGAGTTTGAATTATTGGGAGTAGTAATCTAGTTCCACCTCTAGAATACTAAAAGATTTCATTTATCTTCAGTTAAAATGCTGAGAAGTTCTTTTTCCTACTATGTGCTGCCTTTGCTCTTTTACAATTCTTGACTATAAGTCAGTGAAACATTGAAAGAGTACTTTCTTTGCTTCTGTAAGATACCCAATATTTAGTGACTAAAAAAGATCTGAAATACTAGTGATTGCTTTTAGAATATATACTCACTGTTTGTTAAGAGCAGGGAATCTGTAGCTCATTTTATCTTCAAATACTTTATTTTGCAACTGATTGGTTTTGATGTAGATTATTTCGTTGAAGGTGCCTGCATTATATATTGGGTTTATAGAAAATTCAAGGTGAGCTGTGTTTCTTGTGTCTGAATCAGAACCTCTATACATTTAGTGGGGAAGTAAAGTGAATTAGCAGTTAGCACCGGCCTATTCTTCTGCACATCTCGTTCCAATGTTTTTATTGTTAAAAAGTGTATATCAAGCTTCTTTTTTTTTTTTGGCGGTTATATGAGTATATCTCCTTTAGGCAGTAGGAATGCTGGAGACTATTTTGAGATCACACTTTTTAGCTGTGCAAGTGAACCTTTGTTTTCTTTGGTAGTCTTCCGTAAAGAAATTGTAAAACTATACTAGAGTTCAAATTATGGTATTTGCCATTGATGGAAAAGCCTTAGAAGTAGAACAAAATTGGTGTAGTCATTGAACTTGTTCTCTTTTTTCTCCTATTATTTAATTAGTGATAATCAGGCTTCCATTTGCAGATTGGCTCATTGTGAATAAGGTGTAATTAAGGTAGTTTCTGTAAGATTAAGATAAAAGCTGGTTTAGAACCAGTGCTCATTGTGCCTCTACTGTGCATGTTTTGGTTCAAATAGCTATGATATCCAGTCAGAGAACAAGCTGTCTTGATTATCATTCTCTCCTAATTAGTTTTGAACTTAACTGAAAACTGAACCAATTCTAATTTCTACGCCCCTTCTGTGCTTTTTTGCAAATAAAGTTGCAGACTGACGTTAATGTGTGAATGTACAGATCAAATGGTTTGTGTTCTTTTGTGACATAAATTTTCTTATCAGAGATTCTAAATTTTGTGCAAAATTGTTGTGATCTTATTTTCAGTATTTTTTATTTTTTTTTTATCGTGGCATTGATGCCAGATTACTATCTTTGTTTCAGTAAAAGCATCTATCTTGTCTTAAGAACAAATGAACGATTTTGAATAGCAATACATATTTTAAAAAAATGTCAAACTATTCTGAACTTGATGTGTCATTGCAGCGGCACGTGGTTGATTTCTACATTTCTGATTTCCAATCTGGGTTGAGAGCTCTGGTCAAGACGGGCTATGGTGCTAGGGTGACTCCTTATGTTGATGAATCTGTTGTCATTGATATTAATCCATCAAACAAAGATATGTCACCTGACTTTGTTCGGTGGATATCTGAGAGGAACCTCTCTAGTGATGACCGTGTCATGCGTTTGAAAGAAGGGTAGGTACCAATTTTCACAAATGTTTTATGTTTCAGAGGGTGTACAATTTCTGAACTACTCTGAAATTTAAAGTATTAATTTATAATTGAATTGTGGTTAATTCGGACCCTATACCTGCTGCTGTAATGCTGTTGCTTCAATAAATCTTTTTATATAACAATGACTAAAATAGCATACGCTCGACAAACTGCCATTTTGCAAAATACATAATATTATTTGAGCGATTCTGTATTGGAGCTATGTAACATGTTTGGTATTATTTTATTATGATAGGTACATCAAAGAAGGTAGTACCGTGAGTGTGATGGGGGTTGTACAAAGAAATGATAATGTGCTAATGATTGTTCCTCCTCCTGAGCCATTGCCAACAGGGTGCCAGTGGTCTAAGTGCATACTCCCTGCCAACCTAGAAGGTATTGTTTTGAGATGTGAAGACACCTCAAAGATCGACGTTATTCCTGTGTGAAAGGGTATTATTATATAGGAATCTCACAATCATGAAGGTTCTGCTATTTTGGAATATTTGGTGATTTGTTTAGTGGTGGTGGTTGTGATGTTCGTATTTTTTTTTTTCTTTTTTGTTAATCTCGTGTGTATAGCTTTTATATGATTCCTTTTCATGTTATGGTTAGGGTTTTTAGATATCTTTTGTAATTGGGAAATGGCATGGGTGTTATAATGCAAAGAAAAACCGTATTATGCCCGTTGAAGAGATTAAGAAATTTGGGTGATATGTTTAGATACGTTTTTAAATTTGAACATAATTTTGAGTAATATTGTTCTCTATTTCACTGAGTTAATATACTTTATTGCTGTATATGCCTGGTTCACCAATTTTGTTGGTGATTTGAGTAAGAAACAAAGCTGATCTTTGTTAGTGTATTATTTGAGAATTTCTGTAATATTTTTTTCAAATTAGCCTCTCCCTGAACTCTCAGAATGATCCTTTTTTTGTCTCGTCGTCTCCAATTCTTTTCACCAAGGTCTAAAAAGAGAAGGCTATCAACTTGATATAGTACTTCCTCGGTCAACTGTCTTGTATACTCTTAATGAATTTAAACAGTTTTGATGTGTGAAAATAATACATATCCTGTAGACTTGTACAAAAGAGGAGTATACCCCCATCTGTAATTATGCGTACACCAATTTTATCAAAAGACATGTACATTAGTATATAGACCAAGCAAAGTGGTAAGGTTTGCATCTCCCAACCATGAGGTTGTGGGATCAAACCCCACTAGAGGCACTTTAGGGTGGGGATTCTCTTATCCCTCCCCCAACCATTCTCTAAGTGCCTAACCTGCTAACTTGGGCCAAGAGGACCTATGAGAGAGGTTCTGGCCTAATGGGGCCCTTCTCCTTACCAACGAAAATAAAAATGTAAATTAGTATACATTATGTTTTCATTTTAGCTCACCAAAGACTTAAAGAGCCTTCATTTAATTTTCAATTCGACTGAGATAATATAAGTATATGAACATGTAATTAGTGTACGACTACATGTAATCTTTGGCTGTGACAAAGACATTTTCACCATTTGAATACAAAATCCAGCTATTAAAAGAATGATGCATAAATCCAGAAAACAGCTGTAAATTATAGTACAGAGTTGGTCACTACTCACCAGCTTTGTAAATGGTACAAAGCTGCTGTCATATTCATTTACCAGAAAACCCACTTTCTGTCTTATTTCTCTATCTCCCAACCAAAATCATTGTGTTACAACTTACAAGCTGTTATAACAAGTTACATCAACAAAAATACTGTTATCTTGTATCTGCAACTACTCAAAAATTAGCATCTCCTTGAGAAGTCTTACTATACCTCCATTGTCCTACACAGCTCAACCCTAATGTTAAGGCAGTGGGGGTGAATACACTTATCAGGATCTGCGGAGACGCATGTCTGTGGATGACTTTCCCAGGCAACACACAGTCCAAAGAGATATGCCGAGAAAGAATTCCTGGAGAAGTTAACAAGCAATCAAGTATCACTACTTACTCAAATTCATACAAAAAAGTATACACGGAAGAAAGTCATTCCATTTCCTAAAATTGTTGGTGATTGGCATATCTAAAATATACTGTAATATCTTACTAGGGTAGAGTAATGCAGAGTGTGGGAATAATTTAACTATTATGAAGGTTATTTTTAAGTAAAATTGTGTCACATCCTTAAATACATGGGATTGAGACAATGTGGCAAATAATTCCACACAGCATATTATTGAAAGTCAAATAATAGTGCAAAGTGAGGTTCCTTGAGCAAGCTATCACTTCATCACCTTGCTCAATTTAAAAACAATAAATCAAAGACATTTACAAAATAAAGGTTGTAATGTTGACTTTTGAGATAATAGAAGTTGAAAACAAATCAAGGCATCAACATGTATTAGGTATAGAATACACTTCATGCATATATTACTCAATCCATCCTAGAATAATAGGCTACATTTGACTTTTGCCTTTTAGTACCAAGTTTTACTAAACTTTGACAGTTTATTACTGATACATTACAGGTTATACCATGAAAACACATCCTTACTAAGTACTAACTCATACCAATAGCTAAAGACTATATATCCTATAATTCTTTTTATACCAATTTTAAGGTTTGACCACAAGAGTCCATTGTGGATTTGTCGTCCTCTGGCCATTTAATTTGGGGATGAATGGACTAATGGAGCACTATTCTGAGGTCCTATTTCTAAAGCAATATTCTTAAACAAAGTTGTCAAAATTGAGATGTTATGCAGGATGTTGCAGGTTAGGAAGTCCCAGAAATCAGATTAGAATTAGAATAATTGTAGTCCACAAGAAACAGAAATCTTGATTGCATGCTAAGATCTTCTGGATAGATAAAACTAAAAATAAAAAAATAAAAAAAAAAAAAATTTGAGACATGGTGCACTCTTGGATTAGTTTTGACAAAAAAGAAATTCAGGATTGGCAAGATATAATATGGTCTGTGTTGATTTCCTAAAAGAACTTTAATCTGAAGCAAGCAGATGCTTGAAATATATGATAATTATAATTAAAATTGAAGCAGAAATATTAATCCCAAGAACTAGCTCACCATAAATTATAGGGAAAAGAATACTTTCAAGATGCATTCCAATGTCTATATTTACATATTCCGCGACGACTCTCAGAAAAGGAATCATGTATAGATTGCACCATGGAGCATATGACAGGAAGTTGACCCAGTTCTTCATGCTGCTCCTGTTAAAATGTTGTCAGTTAATGATATGATAAGGTTTTATTCGATTCAGAAATAAGGGGGGGGGGGGGAATACCAATTCTTTGAGACGATCTTCAATGCTCCCGGATTCAGTGTCAGTAGGCATGAAAATCTTGCGGTAGGCAGCTCGCAAGCCCTTAATCTAGATCCTTGCCAAGTGGGGTGATTTACATTCATAATTGTTATCAAAGATTCAAACTATTGTGATAGCTAATGATATAAACTTTACTCACATACCAGGCAGCATAATCTAGAAAAGAAAACTAATTTCTCAATGCTGTCACGAAATTTATTACCCACAATGTGAGAAAATGATGCCAGGAAATAGACGGCAAGATGTCCCACATGCTCATATAAAGAAACTAATCGAGCTACATCCATCAGATCTCCATGATGACTAGAAAACAAGAATTAAGCTTGCTTGCAAGAAAAAAATTATCAGTAAAATGTTTTTTTTAAAAAAAAAATTATTTTGTATCAGTAAGCAAAATAACTTATCATTTACAACAACTAGCCATAGGAATGTACGGAAATCAGTAACATATAAACTGGTCACACAAATAAAATTTTGGAAGGTTTTATTGCGTTTGTACATCAGTTCATTCTTAGGCAGAGGCACCAAATCTATTACAAAATTTTATTGAACATACACTTGTACTGATTTTAATTAAAAATATCGAACCTAACTAACCTCTGTAGCAGAGAACCCACGACGTCGCATGCCTTCTAAGTTCAAGCCACGGAGCTCAGCTCTGTCACCAGATACCATCATGAATTTTGGAACATCTTGAGAAACCTTAGAAGGATACAAGTATTAGAAACTGCATCTTGGGATAACTACAAAGTACGCACACTCTTGTTAAGGCATAGTGTAGCTGATGAAAGGGCTAAAATGCATTAAGAAAACAAGATAGGTATCTTCAACTAGTTTTTATCGCTCTATGTCCTAAGTTTCACGTTTACTATAAGCCTTAAAGATCAATATCTTGTGAATAAGGGATAAAATACATACCACTGAGCCACCACCAATAAAACAAAATGAGCCAAGGTGGCAGTACTGATGGACAACAGCCGCACCGGCAGTGTGAATGTAATCCTAATCAGGTATTTTAACAAAGTAAAATGAAACTGTTCAATTTATATACTCCGTATGAAATACAGGACAAAAATGAAAAAATTAAAATCAAATTAGAGACGATAAACTCACTTCTACTACTATATGTCCTGCCAACAAGGTATTATTTGCTAGAATGTTGTTGTTACCAATTTTGCAATCATGAGCAACATGACAGGATCCCATAATAAGATTATTATGACCAATGATCTGTAGTCATGAACAAAGTGTGAATAAAATAGCAAGGCAATCAAAATAAAATGTCTGTGAATTGAAGTAAGTTGCACTCCACACCGTCTGCTCATCTGGCTTGGATGATCTATGAACAGAGCTGTATTCTCTTATCTCATTATTGTCACCAATGTCAAGAAAACATTCATCCCCATCCTGAATTAATGTAGAAGGATAAGTATCACACCTTTTGTTCCTGCTGCATTTTCGCAGGTAAGAGCTATGAAGAAATTGGCAATACAAAGCTAACCAAAAAACAAAATTAAAGCAAGCAACAAATATTACATTGCAGATACTGTTTTACTGCAGTTTTCTTTCATTGTTAATTAAAGATTAAAGATTGACTTGATCCCACCTATTTTGAATGATCCTTTAATCAGGTACTTAAGGAGTGTCATACTCCAAATCTCAATCCAAAATTGAAAGTGCTAGATCATGGCAGAGATTATTTTTGATTATTAGGATTATCATGTGATACTTCAAACCTAGTACAAACTCTAATTTGAAATATAATTTTCAAAACAAGTTCATAGAATGTTAAGTTCATTATACTTCACACAAACTGTCTTTCTTAACAATAGTGTAGGCCTTCGTTGAATTCATGGCAGACATTGCAGTTACAGATATCAGAAATTAAGATCACAAATTCAAAGATGGATGATGAAGGTTTACTTCCACAACATTTTCATCATGAAGACCCTCCACTGATCCTTAGAGGTTGTAGTACTTTTAAAATGCTCTTAGCGTAAATCATTACCAGAATCAACTGCACACTAATTTCAGAACTATAAAATTTCACAATCCTTGATTTATCATGAAGACCCTCCACTGATCTTTAGTTAAATTACTAACAATCAGATAAAATATCACTACCTAAGTCTTCATAAGACTCCAAACAAAATATAACATTATTAATAATCCGATATAAAAGTAATATTTATAGGTGCTTCTTCCTTCTTTTACTTAGCAAACATCTAAATCTAGGTCTGACACCATACATATACACATACAAAAACTTCACTAGTGCATACAACAAAACATTTTCGGAATCCCACAAGCAAAACACAGATAACATTAAGGCACATTTAGTCCAAAAATGCAACAACAGTTCCAATATTATTAGTATTGTACTATTGTTATTAAGAATAAACAAAATAAACACCTTATATTTCAAGTCTTGGCACTTTACTCCAACAACAGCATGATGTCCAATAATGTTGTTTGATCCAATCACAGTCTTCCCAGGAAGTTCATCACCAACCACAGCACCACTACCCACATTCCACCAAATTTTTTC